TATCAGATGTCCATTGTCTAACTAATTATCATGCCCCGCTATTGTCACAAAAGGTCATCTCAGTGAGCTGTATCTTTTCTCCTGGACAATAATGGTGGAAATGTGTAATAATTTTTGAGTTTCAAAATTAAAGGCACCCTGAAAAGTATTCACGGGAGTAAAAGCTGACACCTAGAACCAGTCATCGCTATTTTGAAACATTCAAAAGGTCTTTGCTTTATATATTTCAGATTATATTTGTGCCACATTCCTTTCTGTGTTATAATTAGAGAAAGAATAAGGCTTGAATCCATAAACATTTTTTTATTTTCTTCATACACATAAATAACCTTGTCTTAACCAATTAGAATACATGTTCAGTTACAGAATAGAGCTACATGAGATTTCATTTGCATCATTATGACCCTTCCAAAATAGCCACAAATACATAGCTACAAAAAAAAAATTATACAGATATGAAGGCATACATCTCCTTACAGATGCAAAAATAAACATTGTGTGGTGTGACATCAACCAAGCAATGTTTTAGCAATTATTTAAATAAGATCCCTACACTGACATGACAATTTAGACTAAAGACAAATGATGTAATTAGAGGATAACCGGAATTAAACAATGCACTCTATCTTGATTTTGACATTGTCATCAATTTAGCTAAATAATCTGTAGTTTATAACCTTAAGTCCATATATTTTCAGTGTTCTTAATGATGCTTCTATATCATGAAATACTATTATAAAATTTACTGCAGCCCATGTCTCCTAATGAATCTTATCATATGCGACATATCTTACTAAATACAATCTAAAATCCATCTTTTTATACCAAGAGTCACATAAACTCAGAAAATCCCTTGAATGAGGAAAAGAGGTTTGATTTTGTGCTTGTATTCAAAGAGGAAGAAGGAAGCGAGTGAGAGCCCTCCTACTGGTGAGCGTGTGGGTGAGGTGTTTGCGAATCAATTTAGTTAACGCCTCTTGATTCACACAGTCGTGTATGGACAGGTTGCAGATTTGTCGCTGTCTGGATGAACAGCTGATGTTTGTTTTTTGTGACTTAGTGATGTAATATCAATCTATGAGCAAGACCTTTAAAGGGGTCATATGATGCCCATTTTCCACAAGTTGATATGATTCTTTAGGGTCTTAATGAAAAGTCTGTAACATAGTTTGGTTAAAATTTCTCAATGGTAGTGTAAAAACACCTTTTTTTACCCTGTCAAAAACAGCTCTTTTTAGATCAAGCCGTTTTTGTAGCATTTCCCTTTAAATTTGAATGAGCTCTGCTGACCCCACCCCTCTCTTCCGAGCTGCTCTTACAAAACATTATACTCGCTTCTTCTGTAGATGAGGCTGGATCATGAATGATTTGCACGAACATAGACGCATTTAGGCAGATCGTGGGAGCATTCCCTTCAGAAACAAATGAAATCCACTGCGTCGTCAGCGGCTCAGATGTCGGGAGTAAATGACGACTGCTATGTTCATTATTACATCCAACAACAGAACACCTCAATCGCTT